CCTCACCCCCCTTATCCCCCCTTCTTACCTCTCTTTTCCTACGCTGCACACATCGATATCTGGTATCCCATGGAAGTAGCTGGGTCATCCGGCCATATGGTACTGGATGAATAACATTCGGGCTCTGTGCAAAATATACGCAGGGCCCAGATTTGGAATTCGGGCCATTGGGGGGCTTCTGACGACCCCCGAGGCCCAGGACAACAAAAACAAGGGGCAAAGGCCCCACAGATTTCTGGGAAAGAACAGCCCGATATGGGCCGTCAGTCACGGGAGATCGATGGCCCAGATCTGGCCTCCTTCAATTTCGACATGCATGATGCCATGCCGCTGCCCTGCACATGGGAAGCCGGTCGGGCGGCCGGAAAACATCTGATGCAAGCCGTGCCGCCCTTGCTGCCCGACCATCACCGCAAGGAGTTGGCCCGTCATCGACTCATCACCCAATCGTGGTGCTTCAAGGGAATCATGATGACAACGGTCAGCGAGGTTTGCAGAGCTGGAAAATGAACTTTCCACTTTAAACCACTTTAAACGACTTTAAACCCTGCTTCTTTAAACCCTGTGACACAGAGCTGGAAAAAGAAGCAGGGTTTAAACTTTGACGTGGTTGAAAGTGGTTTAAAGTGGTTTAAAGCTGAAACCACCAGTACTCGAGAAAGGTGTGCCTGTATACGCGCAGGCCTGGTCGGGATGCACGGGCCGGCCTGCTCCCTGTTAAATTCAGAGACAAGCAGGAGGCCCGCAGAGGATGAAGGAAGGGTACCAAGTACTGGTGGCTCAAGTGGTACTTTGCTTCGTGCAGATCGTCAACAAACCTGTGCTGAAGTTCGTTCGTTCAGGTGGTACACACACTACATTGTAATGGAGGGTATGCAGAGAATTTCATCTATGCAGGGGGGGGGGGGGGGTATGAATGCGCTATGCTTCTGCAGAGTGAAGGAAAATAGTGCTGGAACTGCCATTTGTCGCCGAACGTAATGTACGCTGATCATGAATGTATGCAAGCTGTTATCTCAGTCACGTACGGTCATGATGATGATGCACTATGTTCAGGGGAAGACAGTAGCATAATGTGTGCGTAGCTGCCGAAAACGGACCAAGGGACGGAAACACACACACACGTGAACACAAACGGATATAATATGCTGTTGTGGCCTTGATATGCCATGCGTAAAGAACTGTGTGAACGTCAGCCTGCTTTCCTGCTGGCATGTCAGGAACATCCCATGTTGTCGTCAATGTTTCCGAGAAGCTGTCATGGAAATTATGCACCTGTACTGTGAGGACTACCCCCGATGCGATCACCCGCCACATCCTCTACCTAGAAGCGGGGAAAGACGGGTAGAGCGGGGTAGGGCGCCGTTAGAGCGCCGCTCTAACGGCGTTCTACCACTTTTCCCCTCCGTCTCACCCGCTTTTGAAAAACGCTTGAGCGGTGGGGGGCTGCAGATGACGAGGACTAAGGCCACCCACTCCGAAAACGACAAAAAAAAAAAAGGAACATCCCTCTATGACCCTACACCCCTGAACATCCCTCCCCTACAGTCATCAACACCCCTCCCCTGCACCCCTCCCCAACATCCCTCAATACACCACCACCCCACCTCCACGCCTACCCTGCATCCCTTAGCACCCTTCCCCTACACCCCTCGACACCCCTCTCCAACATTCCTGAACACACCTCCCCTACAACCGTCAACATCCCTCCCCTCAGCGCCCCTCCCGCCACACGCCGTCGCTCCCGACACTCGAAGCCGCTGCCCTCTCTCTCTCTCTCTCTCTCTCTCTCTCTCTCTCTCTCTCTCTCTCTCTCTCTCTCTCTCTCCCTCTCCCCCCCACACTGTTTCCTCCACAAGTCAGCTACCTCCGAATGGACGTGCCTCCCGCCCGCAAACGCGATCTTCCAACCCCCACCTTTTTTTTTTCATTTTTTAA